AGAAATAATAATTTTAAGTATAAAAATCTGGTATCAGAGCCTAAAAATAATAATTTTAAGTATAAAAGTTATTTTTATAACAAATATAAATTTGAGGACTAAAAGATAAAAAAAAATATAATTAGAGGACTAACTATTCTCTAACAGAATAGGAAGTTTTAAGTTATCTTTGACTAAGTAGACGAAATTGAAATGAATCTGAAAGTTAATAGACCACTTAAAAATAAAACATAGTTTCTAGACTAAAATGAAATTAAAGTGATAGTTAATAGACTAAAAATTGAATTAAGCCTATAAGTAACCCTGGCAAAACCTTTAAGTTTTGTTGTTTTCTAATGCATAAATGACGAGGGTGTTTTTAAATTTTCTAGGCTTGCAATGCCCATGGTTTGTCTTGCATGCCTAGAAAACAATATCCCTTGCAAAGGTTGCTGCTTTTGGAGCAAAATTGGATCTCCCTTTTGTGCTGGGCAAAAATCCCTAATTAGCCGCTGGACCTCAAAAGCTTGATCATAAGTTTTCTCATATTATAAAATTGTAACTTTTAACTCTCAACCTCACGGTTTGAAATTTTAATAACAATTTAACTAAAAAAAATGGTTCGGCTGTCATCACTCCATCCAAAATTAACATGTTACGCAACATACATGTCAGCAATTTTTTCACTTTGACCGTCCTGTTCAATGGTGAAGAAATAAAATATAAATTTAGAATATTAACCTATTGAAATTACAAGAATTGCCCATCTTCTTCATCACCCATTCAATTTCAACCTGGGTTTCTTTCCTCTCCCCTTAACCCACTACCAGAAATTTAATCTACATCAAATCATTTTTTTCCCATTGATAAATCTCTTATTAAACATTTTCAAATTATTATGCTAATCTACAATAATATCATACACATTTCTTTCAAAAAAGAAAAAAAGAAAAAAAAAAAGAGAGAGAGAGATTCCTTTAAGAGAACCCAATCTGGGTTCTCTAGAACCGCTTGAGAGGAGGAGAAGGAGAGGATAGAGAGAGAGAAAGGAGGATGAGCAAACAAAACTGACAGGGAAGGCATTTCCACTTGTTTCCGAAGCTCTGCCCCTCGGAAACCATCAAATCACCTCCAACTCCGCCCACCAGAAAGAGGTCTCTCGTGATCACGGTATCGTTGTTCTTACCACCACTCTTAATCTTCAGAATGTCAAAACGAAAAGTGAAGGCATCCCCACTGGCGCGTGCCGAGGAAGACTCCTCCGTCTAAGGTGAAGAGGCATGGAAGTTAGGGTTTTTTTTTTTTTTTTTCTGATTTTCTGCCCGTTACCCAAGGCTTCGCCCGACTAATCTGGACCGATTCAAGTCGCGCACCTAAAAATAGTGGGTGAATCTCCCAACAAAAACTGTTGCATGTACAAGGTCT